AATACTGTTAAAAAAATTAGAATTATAAGTAAGTCAATCTAAAATAACTTTGAGTGAGAACTTTCAAAAAAGAAATCCTTCAATTCAAAACCTTATCATTTTAATTTTTAATAATAAACTCCATACCTCACAATCAAAAAAGGGTACCATTTTTATTATTGAAATGGCCTGGTTCATGTCCTCTACCATGCGACCCCTGTTTAATCACATATGGAGAAGCACATAAGTTCATGTCTATCAAAGTTCTGTCTTAACATATAGGCATCACTTTAAAATGAAAGACAAATGGCAGCTGACATTTACCATTTGTCCCATCCACAAATAAAGTGCATCAAACTTACATTAAAAGTTTGAAACAGAAATATTTTATTACGATTCCAGCAAACTACTTTTAAATGGAAGTCAAATGGTATCTGCCCTTTAGGCTTTGTCGAATCACCAAGTAAAATGCAGACACATTTACATGAAACGAAAATAAGTTCCTGCTTGATTGTCTACAATGAAAGGACGACTTTATCCTAAAATATGTGGTTAAATCCCATTCGATTCTTTTGGCATGGTTTTCGCATGTGAACTGAAAATTACACATGATAACCAAAAAAAAAGCAACAAAATTTTCTACTATGCCCATAGAAGAGGATTTCTATTATTATCCCTGGCACCCAGCACCGCATGTTTGAGCCTACCTCCTACACTCGGAATGCCAACAAAGAAAACAAACATATAAGAATTGTGAATCAACTTTATAGGACAAATACATATAGAATAACTATTTATTATTAAGTGTGAAGAACTTAGTATACACCAGTGAATAATAGAGCACTTGCAAAAATGAAACTTTGCTCATAAACGATGGAATGAAAATTAAAAAACATAATAAAGTGCAGCAGAAGCCCACGCCTGACAGTACATAATACAATAAAATAATTCAAAGTTTAAACATGGTATGAAACGCGTATTACATATCACAAAGTCCCAGAAAGTTGCCATAAAAGTTGCCAAAATAAAGTCCAGTCAATAAACAATAATAAAAAATATTCCAAACTAAGAATTGATAACCCACTTGAAACTGGGCCTTAGCAACCTCGCAGACCTTCCACTTCTTGTTACCAGGCCGTTTCTGCCCTTTGAATTGCTGGAAACACAAACGCATCCCTTGCTGATGTGTAATCCACAAACGTGTGAGCCAGATTCGATTGCTTCTTGTCATGCTCAAATTTCCTGCCAAGGAAACATGCAGTCATGAGCCGTTAATATGTGCAAGATATAGAACTAATCTTAGATAGTAGGTATTGTATTGGACTTGTAATCCATTGGTAGATAGACGAAATCATACATGGAAAGAGAAGATGCCCGCTGAGAACTTTGATTTTGTTAGGAGTAGTGCTTGTCCAATATCGACATCAGATCTTTTAAACCTAACAATCCCCATGGAACAGATATATTAGTCAGAAGGTGTGGATATGTTTTTTTTTTTTTTTGGGGGGGGGGGGCGTCTCTGAGTTTTAAGTATTGTGGCGAGCGCATGGTCAGAATCCTCATTGTGGCCAGTGCCGTTGCTGCTTCGATGCCGGTGTGATCGCAATATCTCCACACCGTTCACACAGACCTGCATAAAAGATTATCAGTAATGGGGATCTACGAGATAAAACTTTGAAAGAAGAGAAGGGGAGGAGCAGAAGCAATAGTAAGAGAGAGATGGAAGAGATGAAGAAGAGCAGAGGAAGAGCAGAGAGCAGAGATACCTTGCTGAATGCTTAAGATGGAAGCACTAATTCATCGGCGAGCATGAAAGAATACTGTGAAGAAGAAGAAATCATAAAACGATTTGTGGAGGAAGAATTTGAGGTGATGGGAGAAGTACGAAAACCAGAGTTGCCGGCGGGAGGCTTGAGAATTTTGAAATTTGAATTTGAATTGGTAGAGAACTCCTTGGAAAACGAATAGGCTGAATGTGAAGCCCAAGGTATGACATTAATTAAAATCAGCTCAAACAGAGCCCGAGGCAAACCCAGCTTGTGAACCATAATGTGTGTGTAATGCCAAGAATAAGCCATGTGGGAGCCAGCTTGCCGGAAAGGATTTCTGTAATATATTGATGGTGATTGGTGTCTTTTGCGACCAGCTTGGTATATATTTTTTACAGGGAGCCGGCCGCCGGGGGGGTAAATAAAGGGAGAAAGGGGAGAGAGATTTCTGGAACGAGGGGGTTGCAAGACACCAGAAAAAATTCACCGGCGACCTACCTACAAGGTCGCCATCCGTTGCTCTGTCCTCCTCGCCTTTCTTTCACTCATCCTTCATCTCCCTTGCTCGCTGCCTCTTCCTCCTTTCTGCATAACCAACTCGTCTCCTTCATTTTCTATTTTGTATGTCATGGCGGTGCATGCGATCCGCGTGGTTTAAACAAGGAATTAGGAATATGGTTTAATGGAAGATGGTGGTGGGGGTGTCCGATTGAAGTAGGTAAATATCCTTTGCACCTTTTGGTTTCTTTTCAAATTGTGATTTCTCTCCATTGCAAGTTGGGTCTGGTTAAGGAATTGAGGCAGAAAATTTTGTGAGGTTGATGGGTTAGTTGACATTCGTGGGATTGATGGTTTATGGACTATCGTGATTTTTATTTACGTTTGTACCGAGTGTATGCACACAAGGTGTTTGACGAATTGTGTGATGGATAGAAGTCATTTATTGTGAGCTATAACGATAAAGAATGTGTTACCAAATTGAACCAGAGGCAAGTATTCTCTATAATAATAAAGCGTTTTGATTGAGAAAGGAATGTATGAATTGAAATTGGTTTAAATTTAAGATTGTCCGAGGGTTATGAGTAGAATTGTGGAATGCATTTGAAGTGTTTGTTTAATGTTTAAGAGAAGAATTGGATTGGGAGGCTAGTAAAATTTGCTAGAAAGCTAAGGCTTATGTTATAGAAGGGCGAAAAGAACTTAATTGAAGTTTAAGTTCATGAAGGGAATGGTGGGACACTCATAGCTGACAAAATGCTTCGCGAAAAGGGAAAATAGATGTTATATTTTAGACTCGTGGCATTTGGTTAGTTGGCTAATATTTAAGGATGATAAAACTCAATCGTTATTCGAATTTGTAACTCTAGTATTTGTAGAAAAAGAAAAAGGGGTTGAGATTCAAGTTCCCTTACTATATCAAATTGTTGCAAATTGAAGATTAAGATGGTGTACGTTGGCGGCCAAAATCATTGTGCTAAATAGCTTATGCGGCATATTATTGTTCATGATTTTAAGAGTAAAGAATAAGGATTATCTTAAAGTATAATGAAAGTGTGAATAGCGTCTGATAAAGAGGTTTTTATAAATGATATTTTCTTATTTGTTTTATTGTTATTTAGCCACCCCATATTTTTCAAGTATTATTTCATCAAAACAACTTCATTTCAATTGTACCATTATTCGTTTTTCCTTGTTCAATATTGTAAATTTCTTTTTACATCTTGAAATACTCTTGTTTGAGGTATTATTACTCGAAAAAATGATTTTTGTTCGTTGATGGAATTTGAGGAAAATATTTGAGATTTTTTGAACTTTCATGCTGGGATCTTTTGTTAAATATTCTATTTACATGTTTTCAATGATAGGAAAGATTCTTGTTTACTGATGATAAATTGGTCTCATATATGCTTGAAAATGATTTCTGTGAGGACTAAATACAGAATGGTGGCTGTTAACAGTAGTGTTGTTAGCCCTTGGTGTACTATGGTAATATCGAGCTCACTCGTTATTTGTGGTTTCGGCCACACTTGTTATTCGCGGGCATTGTTCCCGCCATTGTTCTTTGTGTCTTTGGCTGCGCTTGCGATCGTGACTTCGGTCACACTTGTATTCGTAGCTTTGGCTGTGCTTGTATTGGTGTGCCATAATTAATATCGAGCTTGCTTGATACTCACAAACAATGTTTCGACTCTTGTTTTGTAGCTTCAGTTACGCTTGTACTCATGGCTTCAACTGCACTTGCTGGTTACTTACCCTCGTGGACTATATATCCATGCTTGTTGTTTGTTTTGTTGAAATCCTCTATTGAAAAATGTTTTTCAACTCTACTCGTGATTTGATTTCAGAAACATATTGTTAAAATGCCTTATAAATTTTTGTATACTGAAAATGTTTTATATTGATATATATTTCATGTTATAATAAATTTTTTTATTTAAAAGTAATCATAAATCGACCTTGTGGTAATTGTACAAGTTATTATTTTAGTTTTTTTTTATCTTATTCTTGTTAACCGGATGATATTCACTAGTAAAATTTATTTTGGCCTTAGATAATACACTAACCTTGCACCTTCAACTGAATAGTAAGAAGAAGAAAAAAACTCTCATTGGTGATCAAAGTTTAGAACAATCGCGAATTGATGCAAAACTAAGTTACATTTATGTATTTATTTATTTATGTTTTAGATCCTCCACATAATTTATAGGTAGACCTTTGCCTTCATTTATTATTATAAATATATGAATATATGTTCGTATTGTTGTGGAGGGGAGCTCTTTTTTTGTGTAGTACCTGCAAGTTATTTGCAGAATTCTTATGAAGGCAGACCTTTGCCTTCATTTATTATTATAAATATATGAATATATGTTCGTATTGTTGTGGAGGGGAGCTCTTTTTTCGTGTAGTACCTGCGAGTTATTTGCAGAATTCTTATGAATGGCCTTATATTTTGATTACAAGAGATCAATTTTGTATGAATGGTATTGTAATTATTATGGCAAGTGTTTATTCATATGTTTTTAGGCTTTAGGAATGTGAGTTGTCTCATATTTCGTACCATTCACCCCTAAATTTTTGGGGTGTGACGCTTGGTGTACGAGGTAAGCCTAAACCATCATACATGTGATGTTCTTTCATTTTGAGGGGAAAATATTTATTGAAAAAAACAATTCTAACTTTAGCATTTTGCTGTTTGATTTTGGATAAGTGCGAGCTTAGCATCGTCTGAAAGATCAAAAGTGAGAAGCAGATATGGAGAAATTAGGAGATATCATATGGGATATTACAAAGTATTTATGTGGTTGCGCCAAACAAGAAGTTGAGTTTATTTATAAGTTGGAGGAGAATGTGCAAGCTCTGAAAATTAGATGGGAAAAGCTTGAAGCTAGAAAGAAGGATGTGGAAGAACAAATTGAAAAAACTGAGGGTACCGGAGAGGAGCAAAGGACACATGAAGTCGATCTTTGGCTCCAACGTGTCCACAACATTCAAAAGGTACGAACTCTTCATTTTACATTTATTTTTTTCCCCCTCTATTTAGTATGTGGTGTTTTTATTTACTTCGATTGTTTCTGTTCATGAATTAGATAATTCTCATATTCAGCTATCAATGATGTTGTTAATTAAGTAATTCCTTAGCTCAGTAATTTATGATAATTTAATTGAAATGTGTTAGTTCAAACCAAGCTAGTTAAGCACATTTAAAATTTTTCGGATAAATGTGAAACTCATATTATATCGAAAGGGGACATTGCTCCACTTTTTTGCATTCTAAAATATTTTCAGGTACTGAATGTATCTTATAAAATATTTTAAGATATTAAATACACTTTAATTCTGATAAAAATATAATATCTTCTACCTCTACTATAATTTTGTCGAGCAGAAAAATAATAAAATATTAAACTGATGTTCTTATTATTTTTCCTTTTACAAAACATATTTTATTTTTTTATTGATCAAAAACCGTTTTCAAACATGTTTTTTATTTGTCGTTTTTAAAATTATAAAAAAGAGTTGTTTTGTCAAGAGGAAACCAAACGAACCCAGCCAAAATCTTTAACAATATCGTTCAACTTTTTTGGTCAAAAAAACTGTCATTCATATTTGGCCCAAAAAAAATTCATTCTTTTATATTAAGATATGCAATTTCTTATCTTGATATCAAAACTTGATATGGAAGTGTGCTTACTTAGTTCATGTAAAGATTCAGAAAAAGGGGGGCAAAGAAATATCAAACTAAATGATTTTGTATTCGCAGGAAGTGGAAGACAATCAAGTTCAAGGAGCCCAAGAAATCCAAAACAAATGCCTAAGCAAGTGTTGTCCCAAGAATTGCAAGTCAAGCTACAAGGTGGAAAAGAATGTTGCCAAGATACTCACTGAAGTAGATGATTTAACGGCCGAGGGACAAAGATTTGGTAAGGTTATCCAATTACGCACAAGCCACCACGTAAAGGAATTGGTCAAATACCTCTTGATGAGACTGTGGGGCAAGATTTGATATTTGATCAAGTATGGAATAGAATTGAAGCAAAGAATATTGGTGTCACAGGTTTATATGGGACTGGAGGGGTAGGAAAGACCACTTTATTGACGAAAATTAGTAATGAACTTGGGAAGAGAAAGCCCGATTTTCTTGTGATTTGGGTGGTGGTATCCAAAGAGCTTGACTTGAATGCAATCATGGACAATATAAGAAAATTAGTAGGAATTGGAGATGTTACTTGGAGTTCTTGCAATAATCAAGAGGAAAAATCTTCAAAGATTTGGGGTGTGTTGAAGCAGAAAAAATTTGTTTTATTACTGGATGATGTGTGGGAGAGATTGGACTTGAATTCGGTGGGGATACCCCATCCAAAAGATTCAAACTTTGAGTCCAAAGTGTTATTCACAACACGATTGGAGGATGTGTGTGCAAAAATGCAAGCTCCAAAACCACTCAAAGTGGACTTTTTGAATGAAAAAGAAGCATTAAAGTTATTTCATATGAAAGTTGGAGAGGAAACTTTAAACTCCCACCCTAGGATTAAAGAACTAGCAAAAGAAATGGCAGCAGAGTGTAGAGGGCTGCCTCTTGCGTTAATTGTGGTAGGACTTGCTATGGCTGGTGTGAAAGATGTTAAAGTATGGGAGTGCTCAAAAAATAAGTTGACAAGTTCTACATGGACCACTACAGATTTGGAGACAAAAGTTTTTTCCATCCTTAAGTTGAGCTATGATCAGTTGCCGAATGATACTCATAGAAACTGTTTCTTGTATTGTGCATTATATCCAGAAGACTATGAGATTCGGGTCACTGATGTCATTGATAAATGGATAGGGGAGGGGTTTATGTGTAGAGATATGACAAAAAGCATACAAGACATTCGTAATGATGGTCAATCTGTGATTGCAAAGTTGAAGCTTTGTTGCTTGTTGGAGAGTATTGAAGATGATGTTGTTTTAAGTCGTTCATTTAAGATGCATGATATGATTCGAGAGATGGCATTGTGGTTATCTTGTGACCAAAATAAAAGAATTAAAAGGGTTCTTGTACAAGAAGATGTGATAACAACATCCCGTGATGATGTTGAAAAACAGAAAATTGTTGAGAGGGTTTCAATTATGAATAGGAAAGTACAGCATGTACCACCTGTAACTTATCCCAATTTAGTAACATTATTGTTGAGGCATTGTGGTATACAACATTTGCAAAACCTCAAATGCATGAGCAAATTAAAGGTGTTGGAACTACAGTGTCATGATACATGTGAACTTGGAGAAATTGGTGAGTTGGTTCTATTGGAATATCTTTGTTTAAGCATAGATGGATCTAAGTGTCCCAAGGAGTTGAAGAATTTGAAGAATTTGAAGGTATTCAATTTGTACTTGAGTGATAGTAATATTGCAAGCATTCCATCGGGAGTGATATCAAGTCTTCAGCAATTAAGAGTGTTGAGAGTTCATTGCAACAGGGGAGTTGGAGAAAATAGCCAAGCAGAGGAAGAATTCCTGGAGGAGGTGGAATCTTTGCCAAAAATTGAGGAAATAAATGTTGACATGGAAACAGAAAAAGGCCTCACCAAGTTACTTCAGTCAGACAAATTGCAAGAACGTATATATGCTCTTCGCCTCTCTGATTTGGACACCATTGAGATGCCTTCATTATTGGCATGCATTTCAAAAATGAATCACCTCCAACAATTGGGTCTGATTGAATTATCTGGTTTGAAAGATTATTCTGGTATTTCTGATGACACTTGTTGTCTAAGCATGCTTCAAAGCGTGTGTATCTTTGATTGCCATTCCTTAACGCATGTCACATGGCTCAAGCATGCTCCACTGCTTCAACTACTTATCGTTGTCGACTGCTCATCAGTGGAGGAAGTGATAAAGGAAGATGAGAATGAGGATTCTTCTTGTGTATTCTCTTCTCTGGTAAACCTATATCTGGGTGGAATGCCAAAGCTTCAGAGCATCCATAAGACCGCCTTGTCTTTTCCTTCCCTAAAAACCATCAGTATATCACAATGTCCAAATCTGAAAAGGCTACCACTTCATTCAACTCTGCCAAACAACTAATTATCCGCGGACACAAAGATTGGTGGGACAGTTTGGAATGGGACGCCAAACACAATTTCCAATCAAAATTTCAGCCCCTCACGTCAGATGACGTCAACATAAATTTTCAAGGTAAAATACATTGGTAACATCAACGCACACATTATTCTTTACTGTTCTTTTAATTTTTATGACGTGATATAATTTTACTCTTTATAGATATAAAAAATAAGCATATTGCTTTTGACATATGTCAAAATGCTGGCCCAGCTCTATCCTTTATTCACTGAATGCTAAAAGGTAGCCATGTCATCGTGTGATTATGTATGCGAGCACATGTCTGGGTGTGATTCCTTCATCTCTGTTCTCTTCATGAAATTATTAATTGTTTTTTCAGTTAATTGGCTTTTTATAATTTGCAGATTGGTTTACTGCTATGGGATTGGATTTCCTCATTGGTCCTTACAGCGCCTTTGATTTCTAAGGTTGATTAGCTTCTTTTTAAAATAAATTAAAGGACCACCAAACATGGCGTGTGTATGTATTTTTATTTGCTTTCTCCTATTTGTGTACTTTTTGATTCACCATTACACCCTTCTGTACGTACAGAGCAATGGTCATTGGTCAATAATCTATTTTGCGTTTTTCCTTTCGTGGTGTTATAATAAGACTCTGAATATTGATAAAAAAAAATGCTTGAAATTATTCGCATTTGTGTATTATTACTTATGTATTTTTATTTTGCTTTCTCCTATTTGTGTAAACTTTTGATTCACATTACATACGTACAGAGCAATGGTCATTGGTCAATAATCTATTTTGCGTTTTTCCTTTCGTGGTGGTTATAATAAGACTCTGAATATTGATAAAAAAAAAATGCACTGAAATTATTCGCATTTTGAAAACATCTCTTTTCTGAAAATTACAAAGCGCATAAACGCCAGCCTCGGAGGAAAATCATACAATAAGAAACACGATAATTCAACCTTAGATCTTACCCATTAATTCAATAAATTAGGATTATTAAGATTTTCACCAATCTAACGATGAAAGAATCTAAGTTCCGTGGTTTGGGAATCTAAGGATCCGTATTCATATTTTAAAGTAAAATTATGTAATAAGTAATAATTATATATATAAATAATATGTAATAACGATGAAACAAAATATTTTTTTTTTCAATCAAAATATCTTTCGTAAAATTAATTTTAATATTCCTTTAACAACTAAATATTAGCATTAATAAAATTAGTTCTTTTAATTATGATAGGGCTAGAGGTTTCAAGAATTCGTTATAAACAGTTATTTATGTTGTTTTCTAACTTGAGACAGATAATTTGGAGCAAAGGAGAGAAAAAATTTGAGTCAAATAATGATCATTACAAACTATAACTGGTTGCAACTATTTGTAATTATCTGGAAATTTAACAAGGAAAAATGATTTAAATAATACATAATTGATTACAATATTTCTATTACTAAGTGCTAATTAAGAATTATGATGGATGACCTGTTCATTTCTGTAAGAGTCAAGAGACCAAAGCAATTCAAAAGCAAAGTTAAGAACAAAACTCTAACCAACTTTCATTTTTCAAAACAAGTCAATGTCAAATCCTGCAAAGGTACGTCAAGACAACTCATGAATATATGTTACTTTCTTTTATTCTTTTTATTAGTTACAGATAATTGAATTATTATTTTAATTAAAAAGTAGGTTAAAATTGGTTTAAGGCAACAAGGGCATAAAAAATGTATTTGTTTTAGTAAATATACCCTTGTTTATAGAGAGGACGAGTGGGAAAAGGATATTAGAAAGGCATATAATTTAATTAATTGGGGATAGAAAGGAATATAATTTAATCAATTGGGGATGTAAATGAAAAAAAACATGTATGCAAAAAAAATTTATAAAATTTTTTTATAAAAATGCTCCAGCTTATAATTTTTGTGGTGTGGTCGTCATTCAGGAATTATGAATACCCGCAAGCCTAGCATTTATGCACGCATAATAGTAAAGGCGAACTTCCTAATACAAAACCAAAACCAAATATTAATTCATAGTTAATTACTTAAAACACTAGGAAATTAAATGAAGCATAGTAATAGCGAATGAAATCAAAAATCCAATCAGATTTCAAACAAAGAAACAATATGCAGTGAAATATGTTCAAAGGCCTAGCAAGCCCAAATTAACTAAGCCCCTAAACTCAAAAGAAGACCATTACATTCCAAGCCTCAGTATCTGCTACACAGTGTATGAGTATTAGCAAATACCAAAACCAAAACACATCAATTGATGTGGAGTTTTATTATAGTAGTATTCCTTTCTGTATTGTTATAGCATTATAATAATGTGTTTGTACACCTTTTAGAACAGATTGAGGGGTTACTTACGTGTGTGTCTTTTGTTGGCACTGAATGTGAAGTGAGACACATTTTTCATATAATTTCTTATGAATAGTACAGATTTCAACAGATTTTGATGATATTTTCATATTGATGATTCATTTATGTTTATCGTGATTTTTTTCAATCTTCATCCTGGTGCCTTGTTTCTTCTTCTCTTAGTTTAGGCTGCTAGTAGTATCCAGCCGTTCTTTTATTTTGCCAATTAATTACCATCCTTATGCTTTCAGTTCTGGGTAGCTATAATTGCTTACAATCAACAGTCTCTTGTTCTATTTGAAACTGTTTCAACTTGCAAGTCTCTTTCTTGGTGATATTGTAGTTCTACTGTGGTCCAATTTCTTTTTCCTGCTCTATTCTGCCAAGAATGTTGGTGTGGTTCTATTTATTTATTAATGGATGCGCTTCTAACAAATTTTTAAAAAGAACAAAAAACTGGACTGGACACTGACAAACTAGTCAAAGTAATGGTTCAGGGGTCAGTGGATCAGACTAGGATTAACTTTGAATCAAACCAGCTATAATAAAATAATTTAATTTAATTAAAAATAACAAAATACAATAACATTAATAATCATTAATAACAAGATACAATAAAATGCAACAATAGTTTGATTATAATAATAACAAAGCACAACAACTAAGGAACAAAAAACCAGACCAGAAACTAAATTGATCGAGATAGTGGGTTAAGGGTTAATTGTCTGACCGGAGTCAGATTGGGGTTGGACCAATCATATTAAAATAATACAATTTAACTAATAATAACAAAATAGAACAATATTCATAAATAATAATCACTCAACAAATACAAAAAAACCATAAAATAGTTTAAATATTTAATTTTACTAAACTGTCTTCCAAACTCCATCCAAAAATTTTCTCACTCTTCTTTTCTTGAGAATCCTCTTTTATCTTTTGTGTGGGCCACCTCTGAATCATTGCTCTATAGTCACCCCTTCTTGATCTCCATCTGCTTACAGCTAACCCCTTAGTCACTCTATCAAGTACCACATTGAAAAAACAACCAACCCAAAGGGAAGACTTGGATTGTCGTGCTTGCTCAGGTAATTAGGGGCTATGCATTCCGTGTTTTTACTTTTTATTAACTAAACTCTTATTCCTTGCAGGTTCGATTAAAAACTCCGACCAACATTTGAAGGGGGATTTTGGCTTGGGATTTCAGATTTGGGGGAAGGGAAAGAGAACGACTGAAGATTCGGGGGAGGCAAAGACGTTGCCTGTAACACTCCGAATTTTATGATTTAGGACGAGTAGAAAAAAAAAAATTTATTAAAATTATTTATTTACCAAATAAAGGGGAAAATTATGGAATAATGATTTTTAGGGTTTAGAGACATTTTGGAAAAGGTATTTCCTCAAAAATGGCTTAAATAATTTTAACAGATAATTTTAAGAGAAGAATGGTTTATTTTCTCTGAAAATTATGGAAAAATACTTAGAGATTTATATTTAATCTGAGAATTTTAGGATAACCAGTTGTGATGGATAAGAAAAATCCATTCAGGATATTTTGGTTTAATTTCTGGATATATCTTATATTTCAGAAAAATAGGAGAAATGATAGGATTGGAGAAATAATTACGTGTGAGGTCAAGATTGGTCCAGGAACTTTGTAATACGCGTGCTACCTTCTCTTCTCTAATAGCCACCTGATTCACTCCTCCATGTAACAGCTGGTTACCACGTGTCTAACTCATTTCATTCGGTGTCCAGAGAAAAGAGAGATAGAGAGCGCGAGCGAGAGAGAGAGGAAGCACGAGAGGAAGAAGTCGGCGACGGAGAAGAGGCTGAGTTGAATCTGGTGATCGGAGGTGGTATCCAGTGCATGCAAACCGATCAAACATTCCAGGTGAGCATCCTGATGAACCTCCCACCATTTTCTTTCCTGTTATCCGAGTGGTTATGGCGTGTTTGAGGAGAGAGAGACAGAAGGGTAGTGAGAGAAAGTGATGGAAAGGATAAGAGGACCGATGGATTCGGATTCTATGGGTAGATTGAAGTGTTTGATGTTGGTTTTCAAGCTTGCATGTAAGGTTGATACTCTGTCCTGAGATTACCGAACTGAAATAATATACTGGTATACTTAGACGTCGTTGCTTCTTGTTCTGGTTTTGGGTATTGGTTTCATTTGTTCTCCTCTGTTTATGTCAACCGAAAACAGAGGTTAAAGGGAGGAGAAGGACGCTTCTTTTATATATATATATATATATATATAGACATATGCATATGCCGCGGGATCCAGAAGGAGTTTGTGTGTGACGGGTTGCTCTGCTTTTTGAATCCGTGACAGGGGAGTGTATTTCGGTGCTTGCATGTTGTTTTCGTTTCTGGTTCTTAGCTTCTAACACAGGCGTTAATCACTTGAGATAATGATATCTGTTTTTCTTTCTGGTTGTTGGATGTTATATGGCGTCGGGTTCACTGGTTGAGAGGAGACCGAACTGACATATATATATATATATATATATAGTTTCGGTATAAGTATGTATATATATGTGTGTAGATATATGCAAGTGTTGTTTGCTCTGTTTTTGAGTTTACCGAATAGAGATTGTTATGCCTGCAAGTTTTTAGCTTCGGGTTCAGTGGAAAAGAAATGTTGATGACATATAAATATATATACAGTTGTGATTTCGGTTCACCTAAAAAAAAAAATATATATATATATATATATATATATAGGATCATATAAATATACGCTATATTGCTGTTTGAATGGGGGAGTGTATGAGTGGTAGGAAATTGACTGTGAGGCTTGGGTGTGTTTTATAGTTAAAAGGTTGAATAGGGAATGTAAGATTTAAAGGAGGAAAAGGAGAAAAATTTAAGTGTACAAGGTGAATAAGTATGGTCAAATATTAGTCTTGGGTATGTGTTGAAAATCTGGGAAAACTTCCAGATTCGAAGCAAAAACATTTTACAATTGATTTCGACAGTAGTGTAGATGTAAAATGATGTTAGAGTTACTGGGGAAGGGTCCCTGTGCAAATGAGAGTGGTTTAATGTAAAAGTTGCTGAGTTAGAGGGATATTGGGTTTAAGTCAATCGAGATTCTTAGAAGTTATTAAAGAGTGAAATTATAAATTAGGAAGTTAGAGAATTATCAAATGAAGTAAGAAATGTTTAATAGAGACTTAGCTGATGCTTGATAGCTAGAAGATTAAATATTGGTTTTGGATATCTAAAGTTACTCAAGAAACAAGAAGGAAATTTGTGTTCTTAGGGTTTGCAAATGGTGAAGAGGAATTGTAATTGACTAAAGAATGTTTATAGAATCAAGTTATTATTGTTGAAAGGATTCAGAGGATTTGTGAGCTCTCTTAAATATGTATACACGTGTGCTATCAAGTTAAATAAAGTTAAGCTAGGAATTTGCTTAAGGAAAATCAAGCTTGTTAAGAAAGAGGTTGAGCTTCTTGATTTGAATCCAAATAATTGAGGCTAACGGTTAATGTTGGAAGGTAGTCAAGTGTTTAAATGATTTATGAATGGTTTAGTGGGGATTCAAATGATTGAGTTATTTGACTAAATTTCTAACAAGGGAGATTGAATGTGTATTTATAAATGAGTACGTGTAAGTCAAAGTCATTTGGACTTTTTACTTGACTGAAACTCAAGTTAGTGGACTTGAAAGCACATGCATGTGAGACATGACTTTGTCCTTAAAATATAATAGATAAGAATTGTATGGATTTGGAAATTACAATATGAAGTTAATTAAGCCAAGCCAATTTTAGAAGCAAGTTAGAAGTACAAAAATAATAATTTATACTCTAACATAGGCGCCTAAGTGTTAGGTGTCTGGCATGGGAAGTGCTATAAAGTATATATTTGTGTATGTGTACACACTTTCGATTAGTAAGCTTGTAAGGCAAGGGGATAAGAGTAATTAAAGGCTAATAGAGTTGTTATATATAGTTGTCTTGGAATATGGTTAGAAATTTATCAAAGTGCTGTGACGATGATTTTCAAAACTGGAGAATAATTTGAGATTTAATATGAAGTGTTAATAGAAAATATTTTAAAGATAGAAGACTTGTGTGTGTATATAATATATTATTTTTGACTAAGATGATCAGTTACTAAGAAAAGTAACTATTTGAGCTGAGATAAAGAGAGAAACTCTCCACAGTAAATGTATTAAATAAGAAAAATTGTTCAGGATGACCAACTATTAAATAAGGGCGGAGATTGAAAAAGGATTGGGATTTAAAGAGAGATTTCTAATTTATGAATTTTAGTTGGATCAAGCATTAACCTACCCTTACTAAAATAATAGGTTTTGATATCTGCAAAAGCCTACCGAAGAAGCTAAGAGAAAGGAAACAAGTAAGGTTTGATTTTGAAGCAGAAGGTTGATGTAGTAGTTCTTTCTTACCTTACATTTGTGTATGATTACTGCATGTCTGTTTGTGCCATATTGCTGTTTAAAGCATGAGAACATGTAATCTTTATTTCCTTGCATGGATTATTTAGCCGTGATCACGTGTAGCTGATAGACATGGGACAGTGATTGTCAATTATTTGTGCATTATTTATTCAGCTTGTTTATCTGTCATTGCGCATAAATGCTTACTTGCATTAGCTTGCAAGGTTATGTTCCACTTTGGCTTGTTTTGCATGCTTTATATAATCTGCACATTTGTTCGATGGAAATTACTACTACGGGGATTCGTTCGAATCTCACCCTCCCTTCCTATACTATACAGCTAAAGCAAGCAATTCCAAGAGTAAGGAGGTCATAAGTGCTGAAGGTGGGCTTGTATGAAGAGCAGGAATGCCTGCTGCCTTTGTACCTATAGAATAATTATTTTGATATTTAATTATCTGACTTATTAGATGTTTAAGAGCAAGTAACCCCCACTTACTAGTAATTATGCTATTTTGTATCCTTCTTTAAGGGAGTGTGTACTTTCAGTGCTCAGGTAAGGGTCATTGTCCTGAATGACCAGGGTAGTAACTTATATAATAGTAGTATTATTTTAAATCTGTGTGCCTGTCATATGTGCTTCAAAAGTAGGATAGAACACTGGCGTCTAGTGATCCACAGATGTTAAGTGGACCCTACTGGTATATAGAAAGTTAGGTGTTGCATTGCCCTCCCTTCCTTTTCAGATTTAGTCTGTCGCCTGCAAGTCTAACTGTGTTTTTTTTTAAAAAAAAAAATATTTTTGGGAAAAAGACAGAAAAATTCACTCTTAATTTCAGAAGCCCAAAAAGGTCCGCTGAATTCAACAAATCCCAGTTTGGTACCATGAGACCAAATTGGGATTATTATTTGAAAGGAAAAGACCAAATTGCCCTTCATTTTAAATATTACTTTTAAAATATCACAGCCCCTACTGGCCGGCCGGCCACCGGACCTCCGGCGACGGCGGTCACCGGAGCTCCGGCGACCAGCTGACAATTGGTCACCGGAGCTCCGTCGGTCGGAATTTTTTTTTTTTGAAATTTTCACAACTTCAATATAACGGTTAACAACTTTTGTAATGCGATTAACAACTTCAATATATCAATTAACAACAGCTTTTCTGGAAAATTCAACAAAGTCCGGCGACCGGAAACAATTTTTTTGAAAATTTTTACAACTTTAATATAACCGTTAACAACTTTTGTAACGCCATTAACAACTTCAATATAGCAATTAACAACAGGTTTTTTGAGAAATTCAATAAACTCCGGCGACCGGAAACAATTTTTTTGAAAATTTTTACAACTTCAATATAACGGTTAACAACTTTTATAATGCTATTAACAACTTCAATATAGCAATTAACAACAGCTTTTCTGGAAAATTCAACAAACTCCGGCGACCGGAAATAATGTTTTTGAAAATTTTTACAACTTCAATATAGCGGTTAACAACTTCTGTAACCCTATTAACAACTTCAGTATAGCGGTTAACAACAGGTTTTTGAGTTTGTTAAAGATATTACTGAAGTTATAAAAATGCCAATTTTTGAATTTAAAAACTTGTTGTTAACTGCTATATCAAAGTTGTTAATCGTTATATTGGAGTTGTAAAAATTTTCAAAAAAACGTAATTGTTAACATTATACTGAAGTTAAAAATTTTTACAACTTCAATATAACGGTTAACAACTTTTATAATGCTATTAACAACTTCAATATAGCAATTAACAACAAGTTTTCTGAGAAATTCAACAAACTCCGACGACCGGAAATAATTTTTTTGAAAATTTTTACAACTTTAATATAGCGGTTAACAACTTCAGTATAGCGGTTAACAACAGGTTTTTGAGTTTGTTAAAGACATTACTGAAATTATAAAAATGCCACTTTTTGAATTTAAAAACTTGTTGTTAACTGCTATATCAAAGTTGTTAACCGTTATATTGGAGTTGTACAAATTTTCAAAAAAACGTAACTGTTAACGTTATACTAAAGTTGAAAATTTTTACAACTCCAATATAACGGTTAACAACTTTTATAATGCTATTAACAACTTCAATATAGTAATTAACAACAAGTTTTCTGGGAAATTCAACAAACTCCGGCGACCGGAAATAATTTTTTTGAAAATTTTTACAACTTCAATATAGCGGTTAACAACTTTTGTAACCCTATTAACAACTTCAGTATAGCAGTTAACAACAATTTTTTTTTGAAAAATTATATAACTCAAAAACCTGTTGTTAACTGCTATACTGAAGTTGTTAATAGGGTTACAAAAGTTGTTAACCGTTATATTGAAGTTGTAAAAATTTTCAAAAAAATTGTTTCCGGTCGCCGGAGTTGTTGAATTTTCCAGAAAAGCTGTTGTTAATTGCTATATTAAAGTTGTTAATAGCATTATAAAAGTTGTTAACCGTTATATTGAAGTTGTAAA